GTTGTATGCACCTGTTAACAGGGGATGGACAATGACGTCAAATATTGCTGAGTCAATCAATGCTGCACTAGTTTCAGCAAGGGAAATGCCAATATACGAATTCCTCGAAGAAGTTAGGAAGATGTTTGGATGTTGGAATTGTAGTAACCGCAAAAAAGCTACACAGACATACACGATGCTTGGAAAAAAATACCAGGAGATGCTGACTTTGAATGAGGCAATGTCTACACGTATGACTGTAAGTTTTATTTTAATGTCATTGTATTATATAGCTTAATTATTTTCTGAAATAACTGACATGAATACAAGTAAATACAAACATTTTTTATAATACAATTGTCATGAATACAACTAAATTCAAACACATACAAGACATATTTTATCGAAGATTTGATATGAATACAACTGAATATAACTAAAGACATGCTGCAAAAATTATTCGAATACATCAGAATACAACTAACAAATCTGTATTATATATAATTTTAATATGTATTGTCATGTTGTATCCTTCTAATGTTTTGGTTACACTTCAGTTGCCTAAATTATAGCAAATTTTTGATAAGATAAGACGTAATTACACTTGATAGTCTGCCGGTCTAAATATATGATGTATTCATCTGTATGCAAATATTTCAGTTGTATGTAACTGAGTAATTCAGCATTATACATATGGTAATTTAGTTATATGTGCTCAAAACTTATATTTCTATTTTTAAATATAGGTGGTACCATCAACTGAATACTTACATACGGTTAACGATAGAGGGAGGAATTACACAGTCTGCATGTTAGAGAGAAAATGTGTTGTGGGAGGTTCCAGGTTGATGAATGACCATGCCCACATGCTTGGGTTGTATTAAAGAGCAAGTTTCTAATGCCAGAAGAATATTGCTCCAATTATTACAAACCAAATATTGTTGTAATGACATACGGTGTGCCTGTGTACCCACTACCGGACAAAAATGACTGGAATATACCAGCACATGTTGCAGAGGAGGTTGTACTACCACCCAAATGGAAAAGACCTCCTGGAAGGCCAAAGAAGAAGCGTTTTAAACCTTTAAGTGAATTGCTGCAGCCGAAAAATCAACATTCATGTAGCATATGTGGGCAGGGAGGACATAACAATCGAACGTATAGAAATGCTCCACATAACAAATAGTTAACACTCTGACATGCATTGGTGCTTCAACGATTTGTCAATACTTATGATGACATTATCAAGTAATAAATTCTCATTGTCAAGTAATAATTTTTTAAATGACTTTCGTGAATAGATTTTGTATACATTTAGTTGCCTTAATGTGTTAGATACAATCGAATATAACCTTGTCCACATATACTTTGACAATTTATTATAGACAGTGCCTGAGTTATATACAGAACTAGTCAAAATTCATCGGAATACATCTATATACTCAGTTGTAATATAACAATTTCAATAAGTCTGAATTTGTATTCTCTAACTGGACAATAACCTATTTAATACATCTGAATTTATATTCTTTAACATGTATTAACTGAATTTGAAAGATACATATTAAAGAATATAGCTGAATACAGAGAAATACATATGAATAATACAATTGAGTACAACTGAATACAGAAAAATACAACTAAATACAGCTGATTAATATAGTTGAATACAACTTACTACAGCAGAATAATATAGTTGAATACAACTGACCAAATCGGAATACAGCTGAATACGTATAACCTGTTTAATACATCTGAATTTGTATTCTTTAATATGTATTAACTGAACTTGAAAGATACATATAAATGAATGCTGCTGAATACAGCTGAATAATACAGTTGAATACAACTGAATACACCTGAATCTAGAAAAATACATCTGAATTCAATACCTAAAACCTGTTCAAGCAAAGTTACTGAATATTAATACATACTAATACATTGTCAAGTAATAAATTCTCATTGTCAAGTAATAATTTTTTAAATGACTTTCGTGAATAGATTCTGTATACATTTAGTTGCCTTAATGTGTTGGATACAATCGAATATAACCTTGTCCACATATACTTTGACAATTTATTATAGACAGTGCCTGAGTTATATACATAACTAGTCAGAATTCATCGGAATACATCTTATACTCAGTTGTAATATAACAATTTCAATAAGTCTGAATTTGTATTCTCTAACAAGACAATAACCTATTTAATACATCTGAATTTATATTCTTTAACATGTATTAACTGAATTTGAAAGATACATATTAAAGAATATAGCTGAATACAGATAAATAAATATGAATAATACAATTGAGTACAACTGAATACAGAAAAATACAACTAAATATAGCTGATTAATATAGTTGAATACAACTGACTACAGCTGAATAATATAGTTGAATACAACTGACTAAATCGGAATACAGCTAAATACGTATAACCTGTTTAATACATCTGAATTTGTATTCTTTAATATGTATTAACTAAACTTGAAAGATACATATAACTGAATGTTGCTGAATACAGCTGAACATAGCTGAATAATACAGTTGAATACAACTAAATACACTTGAATCCAGAAGAATACATCTGAATTCTTTAATATAACCTACCATCAGTATACATAAAGTTTCTGACTTTGATATTAACCTGTTCAATACCTAAAACTTGTTCAAGTAAAGTTACTGAATATTAATACATACTTGAATCCTGTAAGATACATATGAATATAAACTGAAGAATAAGCATGAATACTTATGAATAAACCAGCGAAACAGCGATTGAAAAGTTGTAATTGTCATACACGAACACTGTTGATAAAGTGATTAGTTTTTCTAATTAAATGCCATCTTGTCACGATCCTAACCCCGAACCCGGTCGTGATGACACCTCTCATGAAGACAAGTCCAGTCAGACCAAAACAGAACACCTCATTTAAATAGTTAAATACCATAAATAGTTCTAAAACATGATATAATAACCATAATTTATGGAAGTAACGATAACAACAGTAGACACCATCCCGACACAGCCCAAACCGGGGAGTCACAAGTCATAAGCAACTAATAAATTCGGATACCGGTCTACTAGATACGAAATCTGATACAGAAGTTCAAGGACATGAAAATATTAAGATAAGGGAGGCAGGGGGCTGCGGATGCCAACAACTACCTCGTAGTCTCCGAAAACACTGCATGGACTGGGAGGATCAATACTCAGGAGCGGACTCTGTGATGTCTGAATATGCACATACAGTGTAGGGAGTAATGTGAGTACTCCGACTCAGTGAGTAATAATCATAAATAATGGCTGAAAGCAAGAAAACACGTAAAGGCACAAATCAATTCTATATCAAGTAGTAAAAATCACTTAAAGCAGTAAATCAGTGAAGAAGTCAAGTGAAATCTCCTTAAATCAAGTAAAACGGTAATTTAGTAGGTAAATAACAAGTAGAAATCCACCCCTCGAGCACAGTGTCAATCACTCATAACAGTATCAGCTCCTCGGGCTCACTCTCATCACTTAGTGCTCATTTTCAGCTCTTGACCCATTATCTCTCATAATAACATAAATCAGAATAACCGCTGCGGCGTGTAGCCCGATCCGTACATCGTTGCGGCATGTAGCCCGATCCATATAGATAGTCGACTGCGCTCACTGGGGTGTACAGACTCTGGAGGGGCTCCTACAGCCCAAGCGCTATATTGCTGCGGCGTGCATCCCGATCCATATAAGTATTGCTGCGGTGTGCAGCCCGATCCATAACATATATAATATCCTCACCATTGGGTTCTCAACCCCTCTTAGTCATTAACCTCATAGCCTCTCGGGCACAATAATAGAAGATAGGGATCTCAACCCACAAATTCCTCTCATTTAGGAATAGTATGATAAAACCGGCTCGAATCGTTTAAAACAGAGAGAAACATGACCGAGGATATGATTTTTAACAAGTATAGTGAGGAAAATCAGTCAAAATCCCCGAAGGGTTCAAATAGTTGGCACGAAGCCCAAATATGGCAATTAGCCCAAATCATGATGATAACAAATAAGTTTCAGTCAAATACGCGGTAAAATCATCNTAGCCCCAAATCATGATGATAACAAATAAGTTTCAGTCAAATACGTGGTAAAATCATCAGTCAGGATGGACCAAGTGTCAATCCCCAGTAGTAAAAGACCCCACGCTCATCATCAAGCGCGTGTCTTACCTCAATATAGCACTACGATGTGCAAATCTGGGGTTTCAAACCCTCAGGACATCATTTGTAATCATTACTCACCTCGAACTGGCTACAACTCTAGCTCGCGACACCTTTGCCCCTCGAATCGGCCTCCACGTGCGCCAAATCTATCCAAAATTAGAATGAATACATCATAATATGCTAAGAGAACAAAACCCAAGCGAAAACAATCGAAAAATATCAAAAATCCCAAAATTAGCAAAACCCGATCCCCGGGCCCACTTCTCGAAACTCAGATATTTTTACATCAATGAGTTCCTTATCCTTCCACGAGTTCATACATATCAAAAGTTCTCAATTCCGACCTCAAATGGCCCTTCAAATACCAATTCAAAAAGTTCAAAATCCCAAGCCCTAGTTCTTCCATTTTTAGCTTAGGTTCCAAGAATTTCTAGGTTAATGTCACAATAGAATCACATTTTAGGTTCATAAATCTTACCTCTAATCAATTATCCTTGAATCCCTCTTCAATTTCCCTCAAAGAGCTCTCAAAATACTCAACTATGGTGGAAAATTGGCTCAAAATCGCGGATGAAATATTTTATAAACTTACTGCCTAGTTTTGATATTCCTTCTTCGCAATCGCGGCCCAAGCCTCGCGATCGCGAAGCACAAATTTTAACTTCCCAAAAATAACCCTATGTGAATGCGACTTAATCCACACGAACGCGAAGCTTCAGGACTCATACTTACGCGAACGCGTTCCGTCACATGCGAACGCGAAGAACAAACTCCACTGGGCTCCAAATCCTTATACGCGAACACGACCCTCTCACTGCGAACGCGAAGCACCAAATCTTAACCTTCCGTGAATGCGAGCCTTCAAGCGCGAACGCGAAGGTCTAATTCCTGGCCTGCAAAAATCCTTCTACACGATCGCGACCATCTCCACGTGATCGCGAAGGCCAATTCTTCTGCAACAGCTGATGATCAATTTCTGCAACATTTCAACACGGAAAATGGTCTGATTGACCACCCGAAACTCACTCGAGGCCCCCGGGACCTCAACCAAAAGCACCAACACATCCTAAAACCTCATTCAAACTTGTTTCAATCATCAAATCACCTCAAACAACACCAAATCCAACAATTCACATTGAATTCAAGCCTAAGTTTTCTAAAAAACTTCCGAAATATGCTTTCGATCAAAAACCCAACCAAACCACGTTCGAATGACCTGAAATTTTCCACACACATCACAAATGACATAATGAAGCTACAACAACTCTTGGAATTTCATTCCGACCCTCGGATCAGAATCTCACCTACGAACCGGAAATCGCCAAAATACTAACTTCGCTAATTCAAGCCTAATTCTACACCGGACCTCCAAAACTAATTCCGATCACACTCCTAAGTCATAAATCACCTCCCGAAGCTAACCAAACCATCAGAACTCACATCCGAGCTTTCTAACATACAAGTCAACATCCGGTTGACTTTTCCAACTTGAACCTTCTCAAAAGAGACTAAGTGTCTCATTTCTTACCAAATCCACTCTGAACGCAACCTACTCAACTCGATCATATAAAACACGGATAACAAAGCATAATAAAGTAGAAATGGGAGAAATGGAGAGGTAACTCATGAGACGACTGGTCGGGTCGTCACACATCTTCACCAAAAAAACTACTCAAAATAGTATTCACCTAAAAACTACATTCCAAAACTACATTAACCTAAAGCTACTCTAACACTATCTGCACCTTTGAATCTGACTCCGTGATTTGCCTAGCAATCTTTGAGGGTACTTCATTCTCGCTTATGGCATCAGCGTCTTCTTCCGCATAGCATAGTCCTAGAGGAGAGCACCATATCTTTGATGGAGTAGATTGGAATCAAATGTTGTTTGTGGAATCTCACCAAGAGTGCTCAGAAACTCTACGTATGCCGCAACATGCACCCCACAATCCCTAAAAAATAATTGATTGAAACAATTAAAA